TAATTTTACTACTTTTATTAATCTCTAAATATTATTTTCTCTTCCATTCTCCTTCCTGTTTCAAAAAATCTTTCTATTGCAAGAACAGAAGGAAACTGTTGGTCAGTTAGGCCTATCCACTCATTAGCCCGAGAACGAAAATCACACGATTGCTTTTAGATGGAGGTTTTGCTGGTTAAACAGTTAGATATCCAAATGATGAATTATCAGCTAATCCACGTATTCAAGAATAAACTTGTGAGCTAAAACCACTCATTAACACAGCAAACATGTGAAAGGCAACTAGCCCGGCAGAAATCAATTTTAAGTGTTTCAGAAATTTTAAAGATACAAACAGTGAATATCCCTGGCTAGGAGATTGGAAGAGGACGGGGGCCTGAAGTCTTCTATGTGTTAACATATGCAGTTTGTTTGGCGCTGTTGACTCACCGTGCAGAGGAACACAATCGAAGCACTCGAATGAAAAAAAAGTCGGATGAAAAAAGAAAAGTCACCGACCTGAGTGCTTATGTAGCTGATTTTTGCAGCTATATCATCAGTGATCAGACCGGCACCATCAGTGAATGATGTACAAGCTGCACATCGTGGCTCCTCAGCTATATGCAAGCGAAAACTTCCTAGAAAATACAAGAGCAGTGAGGATGAAGTTTATGGCATGTAGCAAAGGATCACCTAGTTATGCAGTCCATCCCTTTGCCCTTAGCCGAATGACGGAAGCGGGAATCATCAGTACAGCCTCCCAGCCACTACAGACCTATTTTTTCATTGGAAAGATTGGATTGAAGAGAGTTTATTAAAAAGAAGAAGCAGAAGAGTGAAGAAAAGAGGTGAAAAAAGAAAAAAAAAACAAGAGAGTACAAAATGCAAAAAACTCAAAGTAAAAACTGTGCTGTGCAGAACAAAATAAATGGCCGGCGCACCAACTGCCGATGCGAAGATGCGTTATTTGCATAGTTCCCCAGCAGATTTTTGCTGCCAGCGGCATTGTTTTTTCCGGCAGGTGCTTCTAGCTAAATGAAGTTGAGATTTTAGAGAGATGCTTCCTGTTGGGAAGCATCCCTTTAAAATTTCGGCTTTCCAGCTTTGCTGATTCCCGAGTAAGTAACTTACCCGCAAAAATTTTTGCGGGCTCGTACATAGGAACCGTGCATAGCCGGGAGCTGAGTTTGAGCTCATTAACACCTACGTGGATGGGGAACATTCCCTTAAAATTACGGTCTTCTAACTTTTCAGATCCCCGAGTTAGCGACTTACCCGAAAAAACTTTCACGAGCCCATACGTGGGAATCATTCATACCCTGGGGTTAGGTTTGAGCTCATTGAAGCATACATGAACAGGGAATATCTTATTAATATTACAGTCTTCTAGTTTGTTGAATTTCGAGTTAGCAACTTGCTCAAAAAAAAAACTTTGGTGGGCTCGTGCATGGGTACCACGCATACCCGAGGGCTGGATTTGAGCTCATTCAAACTTATACGGACGGGGAACATCCCCTTAAAATTCCAGCTTTCTAGCTTTTCTAGTTCCCGAGTTACCGACTTACCCGTAAAAAACTTTAGCGGACCCGTACCTGGGCACCACGTGGGTAAGGCCACCCATTTTGGGGATGAAGGCCCGTACATACATGTAGATTAAGTTCCCAAAGTTTTAGCCCTATAGTTTTTATAGGTTTTGAGATGAAAAATCGGTACAGATGCGCAAACAAACACATACACACAGACAACCCCTCGTCAATATACGTTTTCTGCGTTGCATAGGTGCAAAAAATGCATAA